AAAATTAACCTTTTTTATTGAAAATTTTTACTTTAATTTACTATATATTTAGAAACATAAATATAGTTATCTAAAGTTATCCCTTAATGCCAAATATCATGTTAAATTTAAAAATTTTGAAAATATAGCTAAGTGAGGACAAATAAAATTAAATTTTCTTTAAAAAAAAATTTTTTTTTCTCCCCAAACTTAAATTTTAAGAAATTTAGCATGAAGAACTAAAAAAAATAAAGAGTGAAAGAAAACATTAAATACATAAAGAAAAGATTTACTTGTTGAAGATTCTGATTTTTGAAATATAACTCTGAAATATTGCAGGTACTAATATGAAAAGCTACAAGACTTAAAACATTAAATTGCACATAATACATATAAAATTTACTGAGAAAGAGTTAATTACAATACATTTAACAAAATACTAAAACTCACAACAAAATTAAACTGAATGTCAAATATAACAAATAGTTTTACAATTTATACTTCACAACACAACAAAATAAAGTCTCACAATCTAACAATAAACAATCTAAAAAATATAACAAAAATAAACAACAAAATAACAAAGTACAATCAAACATAAACTAAAAGAAAGATCAATGATCCTGATTTTTTATATGTAAGGATTTATGAAGTTGACACCACTACAATGCCAAAAACTTGATCCTTGTTTGAAAAGTAAGTTGGGTACAATATATATAATTATAGGTAATTAATAATGGGGTTCTACGCAAGTATATATATCATTATCAAGTAATAATGAACTTTCTCTTTAAGCCCCAAATATCGATCTCACAGGGAAGGTGTAAATTAGCAATGATAAATTTTACCAGGAAACTTACAGAAAATCGAACGAAATCACTGTTACTAATTTCGAATGCTGATATGTTAACCAAACTAAATTACTTAACTATTAGCAAAACTAAAATGCAAATTTTTAATAATAACTACTAATCTACTAACTATGTTTATGTAATGAAGGTTTCTTATGTGAAAAAGCATCAAATAAAATTCCCACTACAATAAAATTCTAGTGAAATGAGATAAGATAAATGTTTATAATATGTATTGTGCCAAATAGGAACAATTTTAATTCTCTACTCTGATGCAGTTCATAGAAAATCATTGCTTAATCTTAGGTTTAGTCTCTAAATCCGTGGCTAGGCTAGGAGGAAATTGGCTCCTACTCTAGAGCTCACACTTCCCTTCACCTGAAGGCTAACTCTCACTTTAGTTTTTAAACACTAAGACCAAGTTGGGGATTTTAGTATGTCACCCTAAAGATTCTCTAATTCTACACCCAAAAAAGAATATTTCCCTATTTATTTGCAGTTAATTTTATGAATGAATTTCTCCTTCATGAAATCAAATGTGATCCTGACTTTGTTGTAGAACACATACTCTATTTCCCCGATCATATATTTCACAACATATTTTAACAAATCAATTG